TCCTTCCTTCCTTCCTTCCTTCCTTCCTTCCTTCCTTCCTTCCTTCCCCCTTTTCCCCTCCCTCCCTCCCTTCCTTCCTTCCTTCCTTCCCCCTTTTCCCCTCCCTCCCTCCTTTCCTCCGTCTCTTCCTTCCTTCCTTAAGTGGGAAGAGTGTTTGAAGACAGGGTTTCCCTGTGTAACCCTGGCTGTCCTGGAACTTGTTCTGTACACCAGGCTGGCCCTGAACTCAGATCTCCCTGTCTCTGACTCCTGAGTACTGGGATAAAGGCATGTACCACCAATACCCAGCTGCTACTTTTCTTTAATACTATCAAATATATTTTCCAGAATCCATAAAAGGTAGTAAGTTTTAAGTGCAGAAGAAGGCAATTACAGACAGCTCTCTGGGCTGAGTAATAAATCACCATACTTCACTGTTTGTTTGTTTAACAAATAAAAACACAGGCCCTTTTCCACTTAATACTGTAAAATTAGAATAAATCACTCAAATTAACCCTATGCACTCAGAATAAGTTGGTGAGAAGGCAGGCACAAGAACAAAGCTGTCAGCCATGGGTCTACAGTAACTGTGAGGAAGGTTTGGCATTAAATCACATTATACTCTTGTTTTCTTATCTATATTTTCAGACTGAAAGGCATCATTCCCATTAGTCATTTTAATCCTAAGCCACTAGAGGCACTGAAGCTTTCTGAAGGAGAGGAAAAAATACATCCTGCAAGGTGCACGTGCAAGGGAATACAACAGGAGGTTCAAGTCTACAATACCTGAGTTATAAGCTCTTTATATCTTATTATTTTAGTGCCAGAAATCAGAATCTTGGCTCAGAGTGACACTATCTACCTGGAATAGCGTCACACCTTCATAGGTGAGAAACAAATTGAGAACTGCAATTAGGTAAGGAAGACAAAGAGTGCAGGCATATAAGAATGTATTTGGCAGCATGGAACTTGCAAGATAAGACATCAGGTTTTCAGCAATGGCAAGTCTCTCAGAGGGACAAGAACATGGTATTTGGGGCCAAGGAATATCTATCAATGCATCCCTCTGAAAGCTGGTGGAAAAGGGACCCAGTCAGAGGTTAAAGTAAATGTTAAGTTATCCAGGCCTCTACCTCTTCAGAAGAAATGAAAATGAGAAAATACCCACAGATGTCTTTCAGTTAACAAAGACTTCATTTTTCAAGCAAGGTTGTGTGTATGAACACATCTTATCAGACTCATAACAGCTTGCCACTTCCTAAGAGAAGGGTGGTTTTGCTGTGAAACATCATATCCAGCACATCCAAAGCTATAATCTTCCTCGATTCCAAGATGGAGGTGAAAATTCAACAATTCCCAAACCAAGTGGACAGATTCATACCACTAACGAGACATGCATACCTCTTGTACTGAGCGAGCTGCGGGCTTGTCTTGATGGTTGGCCAATATCAAAAAGGGCAGAGTGCATAGCTGTGGGTGCTGCAGAGCTGAGTGCAGCTCGTTTCTAGCAGTCTCTAGATCATCCTCTGAAGAGGCGCTGTCCAATACAAATATTACTCCTTGAGATCCCTGGTAATAGCGGCTCCAGTATTTCCGGATATTATCAGCTCCTGTCAAAACGAAATACATCTCTGTTAAAAAAAAAAAAAAAAAAATAGTTCCCATCACCTTAAAAAAATGCCCCAAGAACAATTTCTTCTGGAAACCCATGTATCTCTTCAAATGCGAATGCTAAACTCTGGGGTACAGAGGAGACTAGGAATCTAAAAGTTACAGAACATGTAGACCAGATTAGTTCATTACAGTTGATAGGTAGATGCAGCCAGGAAGTAGAACACAGACATTCACATTGCTATTCATGATTATATATCAAAATAAGTGGAAAGTGGCCAGAGTAATGACCAGGCTTTTATTAAAGCCCTACGAATGGTTTTAGATCTTATCAGAGCTGAATGAACTATATTCTCCACAAACTGAGAGCAATGTTACCTAGCCATTCACCATCGAATCTTGCTATGACATTCCTGTAAGTTTGGTGATAATTTTTTAATAGAATAAGGCTATGTCTGAGATATTCATGAAGTGTTCACATGATGGAAACTTAATTTTAATTTTTATGTTGATGATATCTGGAATTGGGGCCTACTGAAGGAATCAGGGTTAGAGACACATTGGCAAGGGCCTCATGATGGGCTATGGCTTTACAATAGGGGAAACAGACGACTACACTTTCCTGCTCAATCTCCCTGACCACTGACGTCTGCTGCCACATCAAGATACAGTGTGACCCTCCCCAGACACAGAGGGTCAACCTGGGACTTCCCTGCCTGCAGACCTGCAGTAAATTTCTTTTAGTTAAAAACTGCCCAGTCTGTATTTTGTTGTAGCAACAGAAACTGGACTAAGACACAGAGCTGGGCAGCCTTGTTTAACTCCACACAGAGAGTTATTAGCATAATAACTTTTTATGTCTAAATACTGAAATTTGTGAACCACTAAAATCCTGGCCTTTCATATATCTGTATAAATCCACTTGGTTTACTACTTACAAGGGAAAAAAAAAAAAGGCAATGAGCATATTCATGGTGTCTATAAGACAAGGTGCTTAGAAGAGACACTCGAGAAAGACAGGGTCATCACTCTTGACATTTCTGATTGAATTGTGTTAGCAGACAATTTGCCGAGGAAGGGCACAGGTATCTCCCATTATTTGACTCCTTTCATTTCTTTGATTTGCAAATATGTCTCTCTTTCCTCACTCCTTCTTCCTCTCTCTTTCTGTGCATGTGTGTGAAGGTGTATCTGTCGTGAACTGGAGAGATGCTATTAGATATATAATAAAAAAAAATATAAGTAATTTACTAGTCTTCAGCATACGATCCAGTACCACTCAGTTAACAATTACGTTTTAGTCATATATTGAACATTTACCTCCTGTGTATGACATACTGTACTGAATGTAAGGGATCCGGACAGTGCAGACTGTAGTTGGGGTGCACTGGCTTGCAAAAGACACTCATGGATATTTCTTCCCAACCCTGTGTTCAGTGATGTCATCCTAGCAGCTCAAAATGAGCCAGGGTAGGAGTATAGTGGTGGTGGAAGTGAGTCAGGCCTCTGTTTTCCCTGGCTAGCCAACACACCACTGGGTGAAACTGAGAAGCTCCTATTCTTAGGGAGAAATAGGAAATCTAGAGGTTCTGATCGCAGTTTATTAAAGTACTGCCACCAAAGTGCTCATCCAGAGAAAGGCAAATAAATTAAAAATTAATACATGTGACAAGGCAGCTAACTTTATTAAGCATTTACTAAACTCCTGGCACTATGTCGAGTGCTAGGAATAGACCATGTGATTCTTACAATAGCTAAGGGATGGAAGTATAACTGACTTAGGTGCTGAAACTAATTTTCAGATCCTAAAACATAGGATAACTCACCATTACAGTATACTGAATAACTGAGCTTCATAAAAAGCATTAGGGCATTCAATGAAAAATGGTCATAAGTAAACAAACAGGAAGGATATGAACGGAAAGGATACACATTACAAAGGACTGAACCAAGAAAACAAATAAAAAATAAAGAGCAAGGAAATTTAAATCCTTGATTATTTGAAATATAAAATTCATTGCTTAACTAATGGGAAACCAATAAAACAAAAGAGCTACTGAGATTGGCCACATTGAGGTGAAGTTCCCTAGAAGCATAGCCCACAATGGCCCTTCTTGCACACGATTGTGGAAAGATGCTGTAAAGAAAAACCAGAAGTGAAAGAAATAAACTAGAATCATGGTAAAGATATGACTTCAGAGATCTCACCCCAACTTGATCCTCCAAGGAGCTCTTAGAGTCCAGAGGCCAGGTTATCTCTGTATACTTATTGGCTTTGAGCCACCTCTCAGTACCTGGAGGGGGCTGGGACCAGATCTTATAATTTCCCAACATATCTGGCTAGGGTAGTTACTGTCAGCCAAGAGTGGTCCTCTGGAGAAGGGTACAGGTGTGAGTCATTAGCAGCCAATACCACAGCAGCTGGGAGATGGATGCACTGGCCCAGTAAAGGAGATCTGCATGTGATACCGACAGCATCTGTTACAAGCTAAATCCAGACACTATCCATATGCTAGCAACCCATCCATAAGTCTGCGGGACAGAAGCGACAGCCGACTTATCCAGCGATGACTCTTTAAAAATAACAAAATAGTGTTGTATTTGTACTGAAATTTACTACAAATTTTACTAATATAAAAATGTGAGATACACAATTTTCATGTAGTAAGATTACATGTGTTTATCTACTGTTAATTCCACAAAGCCAATGAGAACTTAGAGAAGGCTTTCCTTGATTTTGTAACCAATGGTTGCAACCTTACCATAACTAGTTCTGACAAGCTTAGTGATGGTGTAAGTGTCTGATGAGGATTAATTCACTCAATCAAAGAAAACATGATAAGGTAGGTAATATTTTTTAATTAAAAATTTACTTGTTTTTATTTTATATGTATTAGTATTTCCTCTGTATACTATGTGTACACAGCAGAGGCCAAAAGATGGCATAAGATCTCCTGAAATTGGGAGGTGAAAAGGTTTCCTGCCATCAGGTGGGTGCTGGAAACAGAACTTGGGTCCTCTGCAAGAACAACAAAATGTTCTTAACCTCTAAGCCATCTCTCTAGCTCTCTAGCTCCTGAGATAGGTACTACTATCATTTTCAATTTATCAATACAAAAACCAATACACAAAACTATATGTAGATTTGTCCAAGACTATACATTCAAAACCCATTTAGGTGTAAATGTGACCAGAAATGATGAGTTAAATAAAGAACTACATTCCTCAAAGGTCATGGTGGGGAGAGGGGCTGAAATAAAGGGTACCTAACATACACCATATACACATCACAAGTGGCACTACTTCTAAAACATTTCCCAACCAGCTGACCCAATCAATGCTTTTTAAGTACACAGTCCATACAAGACAATAAGGAAGGATCTAAAGATATACATAGAAAACTATTATTCATCTTAATACAAAACATAAACTCCCACAAAAGTAACATCAAGTATAAGGCATATAAATCTATCAGAAGAAGCTGGTGTGGTGGCACATGGCTTTAATCTCGGCACTCCAGAGGTAGAGGCAGTTGCATCTTTGTGAGTTTGAGGCCAGTGTGATCGACAAAGCAAGTTTTCAGGACAGCCAAAGTTGCTATGCAGAGAAACACTGTCTCAAAAAACAAACAAACAAAAAAACTCTTATCAGAAGAAACAAATATAGCCACATACTCCATGATGGCCAGGGCAGCATGTATAAAGGAGAAAATACTGGTCACATATTTAAGAAACTCTTCCACTGGAAACTAAGGGGACACAATGGAGTTCCAACTCAGGCTGTCATCTCTTCAAATTTAGAAAAATGACATATTTAGAAATACGCAAGGCTTCAAAAAGATGATACAAAATGACAGGACCTCAATCAACAGTAGTGGTAAATGAAAAAAAAAAAAAACAATGAGAAACAAAAGATCAAATGTTCTTTATAATATATAAATATTTTATTATTAATAGTGAAAAGACTTTTTAATCTCTTACAACAAAATCTCTATGAAACCTTAGTACCCCTGAATTTCTTCACAAACACTGAGCATGGAATTCTAAATTGCATTTTATCCTGTTGCCAATGGCCTTAATGAACAGCAGCAGCCTAGCTGAGATTAGGGCCAAGGAACCCAGTAAAAAAATGACGGTGGCATTGTGAACAACAGCTGAGGCAGCAGATTAAAACTGAGAAATGGTTGTGTCATCAATAGACTACCAGGGAGGCGATGGACACCTGTTTGACGGTCACTTTCCACTCAGGAAAGATGCAGCATCTGCTACAGCCTGAAGCCAGTCTTAGTCCTTGGATTGAACACAGCATGTTCTGTGTCCCTTAAATTACAATTATCACATAAAATTGCTAGGTGCCAAACTCAAGCACGGTAGATATTTTCTACACTGAGATCTTAAACCAAGAGGAGGTTTTTAACAGCAGAAGAGCTGTGAAGAAGAGTGTTGCTCAACAGTCTAGAGAGACTTGGAGAGCAAAGGGCTTGTTGTGCTCTAAGAATGAGGACCTGATTTCAGATCCCTAGAACCCACATAAAGCCAAACCTGATGTCATGCAGAGACAGGAGACGGAGAGAGGGAAACCCATAGCAGATCGCAGGCCGACTAGTGTGACATATTCAGTGGTGAACAAGAGATCCTGTTTCGGACAAGGTGTAAGGATGGTACTCACACTGGCCTCCACTGTGGTATATATGCAGCTTCCTGTACTCACAGAACATGCTCATATACATACATCACTATCTTAGGGTGACAAAACTCCATGACCGAAAGCAGTTTGAAGAAGAAAGGGTTTATTTCAGCTAACACTTCCGCATCACAGTCCATCACTGAAGGAAGTCATGGCAGGAACTCAAGTGGGCAGAAACCTAGAGGCAGAAACTGATACGGACAAAATGGAGGAATGCAAGTTTCTGACGTGCTCAGCTGGCTTTCTTAGAGCACCCAGGACCACCTGCCCTGGGGTGGCACTGCTCCCAGTCGGTTGGGCCCTCTCATCTCCA